AAACACAATGACATGGCCTTTGACCTGTGACCCATCTGGAGAGGGTTAACTTAAATTTCCATACAGCAAGAGAAAGCAATTTAAGAATTTCACTGCATAAATTTGATCATTATATTTTTCTAAAGCAATGAAAAATCTAAATTTAATTATTAGTTAGAAACTGTCAGTTTGACAAACTTATAATAAATAGTTTAACTAAGTACTCTTCGTGTACACGTTGTACATGTAATTACAAGTAAGTGGAGAACATCTGTATTATCTACCTTTGTTTTCATCAACACAAGTCTGCAATGTGGTGTTGAGACTGCTGAAAGAAGGAACTGAAGATCCAAGTGGAATCACCTTACCTATAATTAACAGATTATAAAGCATATCATTTACATAACAAACAATAAAAATATTTACAGAAACAAGGACTAAAAATTAACTACATGTAATCATTTTAACTAAAAACAGAACTTCTAAAAGCTTAATTATTGTCCACTTGTTATACTTTTAACTAAGAACAAAAGTTTTAAAAGCTTCATCGTTCACATTTGTAATAATTTTAACTTAGAACTAAACTTATTTATCATTCACTTCTAACAGTTTTATTTGAAGAACAAGACTTCTAAAAGCTTCATTATTTTCACTTGTAATAACTTAATTACTGTTCATTTCTAAAATTTTTATTTCATATACAAGGAATTCTCATATTAAAATAATCAGCTTTCTGTCTTTACCAGGTGTATGAGGGGTGCCATCTAATGTGCTCACAACAGTAGACTGGAAAAGACCCTTAGTTTTGTTTCCTACAGCAGTGCAATGTTTCTGGCCGACACTGTTTCCACCCTGTGAAGAATGGGTTAATCCTGCCGGAACAGGAGACTCTTGTGTAACTACAGGAACAGATGTTGTAACTCGATATTCTGATGTTTCTACAGCAGTGCCATGTTTCTGGCCGACATTGTTTCCTGCTGGAACAGGAGACTCTTGTGTAACTACAGGAACAGATGTTGTAACTCGATATTCTGATGTTTCTACAGCAGTGCCATGTTTCTGACTGGTGTTGCTGCCACCCTGTGAAGAATGGGCTAATCCTGCTGTAACAGGAAACTCTTGTGTAACTACAGGAATAGAGGTTGTAACATTGGTTATATAAGACACAGAAAAAGTATTTGAGGATGTGCTTTTTTCCAATACCAGAGTTTCCTGAGAATTACTATCCTGCATGGCCTGACCACAGCTTGCCACACTATTAATGTTTTCATTTTGAAGTTCTGTTTCTTCTGAACTAGCTTTAAGTTTTGTATTTTCAGACTGGTCATGTTCACCATTTGCAATGATATTATTGTCCACTGAACGATTGGTGCTTCTTACAGCACTGGGGCTTACTGGACTCAAGGAAGATATTCCTGGACTTGACTGACAACTTGAAAAACTACCATTTGTAAATGTTTTATTATCACTAGAGTTCTTATCTGACAATGTGGAAGAATTACAGTTTGTGACAGGGTGTAACGAGGACATAGCATTCGATGATGAAGAGGCGTTACTTGTAACGCTTGACAATGATTTTGCACCTGAGTACGAGCTAGGTTCACTGATGAATGAAGTTTGTTTTTTAGACAGATGATTTGCAATACTGGACTGTAAGGTCACCACACTGGTCAACCACTGTCAAAAAAGATATTAAAACATGTGTTTTACAGAAAATTTCAATCAGTTTCAAAAAACATGAAAGTCATGGTTTCTTACAACATACAATACTTTTTAATTTTTACCTACACCAGCAGAAAATATAAAAATGTCAAGTTTGATAAAATTAAATGGTTTTACAATAAGTATCCTTTCTTTGAGAGTTACTTGTAATGTAGGAAACCATTTAACTTATTTTCTCACCTCATCTTGCTCCTCATGTTTGGCAGTATTAATGAACGAGTTGTAAGCTGAAGATAGTGGCAGTGGTTCTGTTACCTTTGGCAGGAGTGAGGGAGGGCTTCTGTATTGCATTTTAATTGCATCTGGGACCTAAGTTTTAAAAATGAAAGTCACCCTAAAAATTTACCAAATCCAAGCTTTTTGAAGAAAGTAACTACACTTGTATTCTTATGAGCATAAAATAATTTTACAACTCTGAAAAATTACAATTTATCTTAAAGTCTATTATTATTAATTAATTAATTAATGTATTTGAATTAACAGGTGAACAAAAATAAATGTATATTTTGCTTGGTTAATCCACTGTAATCAGAAATACAAGGTGAAAAGGAACATTAAAGATTATTTAGTAGAGGGAGTTTGTCTATTCTGGAACAATAATACAAATACACTATATTCTGACATTACCAATTTTTAAACTTTACAAAAAAAAAAAGACCAATACAATTGTCCAATATAATTAATCACACTTTTTGAAAGCTTATAAATAATTTACATAAAACTACACAAGCAGTTAGTACTTACCCTCACTGTATTCCGAGGTGGTAGTCTTACTTTGTATCGGAATGGTCGGTTTTTTCTGTGGACTTTTTTAAAAAAGTTCAACTTGACGGTATCTTGAGACATCTGCCCGTCACACTTGTCCCATAACTTCACCCTTTCAATCAAGCTCACTGATGTCAGTAACTTCTCATCCTGGTTAAACATATTAAGATTTTGAGATAAAAACTGAAGTATAAAGACATCTCAACTATCAGCAGAGTATATCAGCATGAGCAATGTTTAGAATTAAGGAAAGATACCTGTCAATGGTTTTTTTTTTGACAAATATATTATCATCCAGGCTCACTTTACGACTTTTAATTTTGATCATCATTTCTACCTATAATGTAAATAAAAAAACAACAAAAACTTTTCTTTGTTGTGAAAACCCTTGAACACTGCTGTAATGAAATAAACTTCCAATAATAAAATTAAGAACGTAGATTATAAAACTGTCATATATAAAGACACCAAATCTTTGAAAATGACAGAAAATACTCACCAGTATGTGTTCAGCATGGTTTGGACACATCCATCTTCCAGAGGGTGCTGTAGTCAATGGAGGGTTCAGACAGTCGAGGTGAAAAAGTAAGGGGCAGTAATCACACTGGATCAGTGGAGCTCTCCTACAGCTTCTGTTTTACCATGATATTAATTTTTTTTCTTTTAAATAGCCAGTACTTAATGTTACAATCTAAATATGTACATAAAAGAATTTAAAATACTGAATAAAGTACTTCCACAAAAAACTAACTACTATAATACAGTTGTAAATCAGTTTTTGTACCGTGTCCTGTACAACTTACACTTCGTAATTTATCAAGCAAACGTAGATATTTTACCAGTCACAACAGACAGTTCTCAACTCGAAACCTAAGAATAATGCTAGTTAAAGCATAGATCGATATCATATCAATGTATGTGTAACAATATCACTTAGGCAACTCTTCGACAAATAAGGGCACTAAGAAACACAGAAAAGTAGAACATCCACATGAAAAAAAAGAGTATCTACTTTTAGAAAAGCATTATGTTACAACATTGAGAATACTGGTCCCTTATAAGTTAACATTTTAGCTTATGAGAAAGATTACTTATAAAAACAAGTTTATGTGTTTTATTGTATATTCACTTATGTTTAATATTAACCTTTGTCTGAATGAGATTAGAAACTGAAGTTTTATACACAATATTAATTTGTAACAGTTTCTACTCATCAGCTAATTCTTCTTAAAAAAAAGTATGCCTAAATATTTTGTCCAATTTATGAATAGATTGCTAAATTTTATTTAAATGAACCATATTTAAAAGAAGATATTGTAAATTAAGAAAAAAACTGTATCCTCTGTTAACAACCAAGAAATTTGTGCTGAAAAAAGTTGTTTCTTGTTGAATAAAAACAAAAACACTATAGTTATTTATTTTACCAAATAATGCAACTAATGGCCAGTAATAGTCTGGTCAAGAAAATAATGTTATGAAGATTTCAAATTGAAAAGCATTAACTTAACTAGAAGTTTAATATTTTTGTAATGTTACAAGTTTTCATACTGAATCACAAAACAAGAAAGTCAACATTTTGACCCAAGGTGATTCCATGGTCATGTATGCATTCTGTCAGAGATTTTTGGTTAGGTCTGCCTTTACATCATTAACACAGGATCTTAGTTTTCACGGATCATAGCATCAAGAAGTGCTTCCTTCATGTTAGATCATGAAGTTCTTAAATAACACAACATTGTGACCAGTATTCTTCATTATAAGACAAACCTGTGGCTTTGAAAACATCAGGCTTAAGATGAACTGATATAAGGGAATTCATGGGGTTCAATGACAACCATCTAACCTACAGTTACTACAGTTTATTGAATTTAAATATAAGAATCAAATTAAAAATACATTTGGTATTCATGCTTACATTAAGTACACATACTGAGAATGATCACTTATCTATTTTATATTAAACACAACAGAAACAAAGAAAACTACTGTTTTAGTGATAACCCATGTATTGTGAACTGCAGTAACTAACTTTTGCCTTACCCTGTATATTAATGATTTAATTACACTTTCATCACACTAACTTAGCAAGTTCTATTCTTTGTTGGGGGAGAAAGAGTTATGAAGTCTTGACAGGTACTTACTTTCTACACTGAAAGCAGAGTTTAGCAGGAAGTGGTACAATACCATTATCTAGCTCATGTGCTAATTTCTTAGACACGGCGCGGCCTCCTTCTTGAACTCGTAGTCTTTTACTAGAACCTAGTTTAATAAAAACAACACCAATTTTGAATTACTGTTAACATTTGGGTACAACACTACTAAAACAGTCCAAAATATTGCTTTTTTTTCAGTTAAAGCCTTTGCTAAGACTTTAACTTGTAAACATCATTTTATAAGTACAAAATGTTTTCCACACTTAAATTAACTCACTAAAAAAAGATAACTAAATGAAGCAAATATTAACCCTTATCCTACCATACTTTTAGAATTATTTTTAATACTAGAGATACAATATTTAGACAAAGTATTCTCACAATAACTAGATATTGGATTTGTCCACAAAATAATATTATATCTTTTCTTTATCTCCCTATGTGCATGGGTGGGGGTCAAAGTGCACATGCCACAACCTTTTACAAAGTGCCATTCAACATGGTATCATCAACTCTTTATTTTACCATACATTGCTAATTTAGTAACTGTACGTGAACATCATCTTAAACTGATTTGTTGGAGGGTACAGCCTTAAGTACAAATACTTTTGTAACACATCTGATTTTTATGTACAACAGGCCATATTGGACCAACCCCATGCACATTCAGTTAAGGTGATTCTAATCACCAAACTTTTTTTACTAGCTCTAAACAATAATAATAGTATTGTAAAAATGAATTAAGTTATTTGGAAAAAAAGATTTATTAGCCTGTTAAAATTTGGTAAGTGTAAATACAAAACTGGCAATTTGAAATTCCACACTTATAGTTTAATGTTTAAGTTCTTTGATATTAATTAAGTTACTTGAAAAAGAGTTTGTTGAGTGAATTTTATTTTGAAACTTTTGTATAAAATATATATTTTTTGGTATTTTATTTTACCAATTGCACTTATTAAACAATACGAAATAAAATGTATACACCAAACATGAAACTATAATGTTATTTAATACTGTCTTCCTTGGCACACTACGTATTAATCCTAGTTAAATGCAAGCATCTTTAGTCCTTGGTCTATGATTGGCTAACAGGTGATAATAGTTTTTCTTTCACCCATCAGTGAAAAACTGATTTAGTCCCCATTATTTAAAACATTCTTATAAGTGTGATGTCCACTCAAACTTACCTGGAAGTTGTGTTGTACACATTAGTTCATTTGGTAGCTCAAACTGCTTTGGATTCAAAACAGATGCTGCCCGAACCAGCAAATGAAGTGGGTGTGTACTTTTCTCATCTATAGTTCTTTCTGGTGTGAGTTCGATGTCCATGGACTCTATATTTGGACACGGGGATTTTCTTTTTGACTTGCTTTTTCCTGAAGACTCTTTGGACTTCTGATGCCCATTTTCTGGCACTTGACTATTTTGACAGGTTCCATTTGCTTGGGCATTTTGCCCAGTTTTCTGGACAGATCCATCCTTCTGAGATCCTTTGCCCAAGCTGTGTAGGCTCTGGATGCTACATGTTGATGCTGCATCATCATCAGTCTTTAAAATAAATTTAGAAATTTTAATGTTGAAGGCAAAATCAAATTAGAAATAATTAGATACAAACAAAAGTTCTTAAGAAGCTTGACTTTTCTTACTTTTGACTCTCTTACTTTAAAAAAAATCTACAAATAGTTGGCTTATGCAAACTGGGTTTAAACATTTTATTATTATTTCATCACTCATTTGTTCAAAATTCTCGGTTAAATCTTATAAGTAACCTTTTCTAAATGTAAATATTTAATTAGAAACTTCACTGAATTCTTCCTGAAGTTGTCTAATCCTCTTTAATTAAAATAAATATAAAATTATAAGGTGAAACTTAAGGTATACTGTACATGTTCTTCAACAATGAAACTAAAACTACATATCGTTTTAGGATCAGTGAGTTATATTCTGAATATTATCACATTAAAATTCTTATCTTTTTAAAAACTAACAAGTTATATTCCAAACATTACAAAATTAAAAATTATGATTTTTTTTGAGCTAGTGAGTTAAGTTCTCAGTATAAAAAGTTTTGGTTACATTTTTTATACAATCATGATTTTAGCTGGCAATAAATTTATTGAATATAATAAAAAAAATTAATTCCAAATGTTACTTTGGGCAGTTTTGTACCTAGATGTATAACCCATCCACCCCTAGATATAATCATTGATACAAATCAATAACACACAACGAATTGTTTTTTTAACAAAACATAAACACACACAATTACATTATTAACACAACAAAAGCCCAATACACATGCTAAACTACTTTTATGGGACCAATTCAGTAATAACTGAGTCATATGGTATACAAAAAAAAAGTCAGAGCTAAATAATGAGATACACAATTAGCTCCTTGACAGTTGCAATATAACAAATACACATTAGTTTCTTTGAAAATAAACATATATTCACTTTTAAATTACAATTAACATGACTCTTACTTCAGAAGTGCATTTAAGATAATAAAATAGGGACATAAAATAACACACGTTAAATAGTGCTCTTTTGATGACACATTTATATTATTAACTTATCATGCATATATGAGAAAGATTTTCTGTTTTTAATTGGTATGACAGAACTTGTGTCCTTACAGTTTAGAGTGTTTTTTTATCTGTAAAATGAATTTATTTTAAATTTAACCGTATGCGTAGATGTTAGATTTACTTTTACAGTTGAGGAGGAGGTCCATAGGGTTAGCTTCTCAACTTTAAGTGATATTTATAGTATTGATAGTAAAGTATACTTTGTAAATTTATGATTTCGATACTGGTCACAGGTGAATGGCCATGTCATCTCGTTTGTTGACTCACATTCAAAATTTTATTGAACTACTATTTCACAAATTTATGTCAATAAGTTTGGTATCAAACTGTAGATTATGATTACAATTTTAGAACTATACATTACTCAATTCCTTAATTTAAAAGTAAATATTAAAGAAACACAGATAAACATCGATTTTTGTGTGTCATGTGGTATGTTTAATGCAGCACTGGTTCAAATTAGATGTTTGTGAAATCAAAATACTAAGTCTTTAGTTTCATACGAATTAGAAACTCAACTTACAGATATTGACCAGCTAGAATATAAAATACGAAGGTCTTATCTTTTCTATTTGCTAAGATATTGCTCACATAATAAATCAAACATAGTGGAACCCCGCTCAC